CCCCCCCGGAGGGCCGGGGGGGGGGGGGGGGTCCCCAGCATGCTCAGCGGCAGACCCAGAAGTGGACAAGAAGCACTTCCATCCACTTCTGGGTCTGCTGCAGAGCACACAAGGGATTCCCCCCTACTCAGCGACTGGTGCCTTCTGGGTCTAGGACCAGCACCCGGGGTCCCCCCATGGCCAACTGCCAAGTCAGGGGGACCGTGGGGAGAGGTCCACAGCCAAGCACGTGGGGGGGCCCTCTGTGCTTCTGTGGGATACTCCATCCACCTCACCATCTCAGGATTCATAAGCCACGCTTGGTACCTCAAGGTATATAGAAAAAACACTTAAAGCTGTGTCTATGGCTGAATCTGCATCGAATCTTCAGTTTTGGATTTGGCTGAATTGAATCGGGACAGTGATCCGAATCAACAAATCAAATCGCTGTCCCTCAATTTGGGCCAAATCCAAATTGAATATGGCCTGTTTCACACACCCCTAATAACCACCAGCAAAATGAAAAATACAGAACCCTTCCTACCATGAAAAGGAAAACTGGATGAGTGAAACCATAATCAGATGTAGATCCTCTTACTTGTACGTTATTATACTGAACCCAGCTCACATTGGTAATAACTAAAATCAGTGCCACCCAAGGATTCTCGAGTGAACCTCTGTGAAGTCATCTTTTCCATGTCGTTCACAGCAGTCTTCCCTCAATCACTCACTAATCCCCCAATAGAAAGGTTCAGGCGACAAAGCATTGAACAGACGTAAAAAAACGGAGCAACCATCTCTTATCCCTAGAAGAAAGTTCTTCCAGATGGGGCTGGAATTACACTGTACAGCTATTTTGAAGATCCTTTGGGCTCAATGTTCTCAAAACAGCACCTTTTTCAAGTGAAAAAAAAATCACTTAATTTTAAGAGGAAAAAATTACAACCATGTTTTAAAAAAGAAAGATGTCTCAGCCTAATAAAATAGAAAGAGATAGTTAGCAGTCTGAGTCTGAAGTCAGGCAGAAGGTACAGCAAGGTAGCACCTTAAAGATTAACTTATTCAGAAAGGCATTAACTTTCATTGGAAAAAGCCTACTCTGTAATAGCATCTGACAAAGTAGGCTGTCACCTATGAAAGTCTGTCATTCTGAACAGAATCGTCCTTCAAGTTACCACCCCGCCCTGCCCTCTTAATGCAACCAGCTAGTTTTACAAACATTTACCAAAAAAAAAAAAAAAGCACTTACCTCTCTTATTTTTGCATATGCTTGACCTTTGCTACTTGCTGCAACAGCAAGAACCTCAGTATCAAAAACAACTTGAACAAAGGCTTTTAAATTAGACCAAAATATTAGCTGTGTGTTGCTCAGAGAGGATATAATTTTCCAACCCAGATCAAAAGCCTCAATGCAGAGAGTCTCAGATGAAACCAGAAGCTGAAAACACAGAGCAGGAAGCAGTATTTTATTTTGGGGGGAGAAAAAATATTTCTGGCTATTACTGCCTTTAAACTGCTTTCTGTCTCTTACCCTGGGAATAAGTATTTTCATGCAATGAAACACAGGTAAAACCTGCTCAGAAGGAAGAACAGTTAGGGCTTCCAAAGCAGACTGGAAAGTTCTTCTTGGTCTCTGAACTGCAGGCAAATCTAATTCCAAAGTCTCATCTTCTGATCGTGGTATATGGTTCTGATACTTTTTTAAAAGAAAATGAAGGCAAACCCACTGATCATGTATGTAGCAGGCAACTATTTTCCCCCATCCTTGACAAGTTGATTCTTCAAATAAACTGCAAAAAGAGACCATATGTTGAAGTCTATACTAATACATCAGTTTCCCTATTCACAAACTATGTGATCATGTACTACCCTAACACAAAGCAGAACAGAATCAGAAGTATTTAATGGGACTTGAAATTGCCATTTAGATGACTAAAGGCCTTGTTATCGACTTCAATGAGTTTGATTGAGCCCTACAGTCCAGATTTACAACGGAATAGACTGAGATGAGACAACCCATTTAATCTCCACCAAGACCTGTATCTAAGAAGCTGGAAGACTATTTGGATAACTTGAACTCTTTATTTAAATTAACATCAAAAAAATTGTATCTTGTCAAATATTACTAAATAAGACAGGCATTTTAGATTTGCTTTACTTGGTGTTAAAAAAGTTATCATGGAGAATGATTCATACATGATTCATAGCACAAACATACCTACTTTTTTCTTCAATAGAAGATGGCTTCTTTAATACTCGATTAAGTTGAGCAGAAGAAATAAATCTTTTTAGGGTCTCAACAGGTTGCAGAGATTCAAGTTGCAGTTCGGGTTTCTGATCAATAATCTCACACACCACAGTTAGTGATGCCATACTAACTACCTTCTGAATCTGTTCTCGAAGTTTTGGTTCCTGGTAAATTAAAATTAAGCATAAAGAGTAAAACATAGTACAATTTCCTCTGGTAAAGTAAAATACAGCAATATATCTGAAAACCTGATTACAAAATAAAATATAGGGAAAAACAAGTAAGTACTATATCCTGCAAATTACAGAAACTCACTCCAGAATATTCTAACACTTATGCACCTACAGTTATGGTTGACCTGCAACCAACGTCAGCCTTAAATTCCTATTTTCTATTTATAGCAAATTGATTTTAAACAGATTATTCAAACAGTCACACATCAACTTCTCTCGCAAATTCTAAACTTAAATTCTGCTATGGAAAACTGAACCAAAAAGTAGAATTCAGGCACATGCAGTCACAATCCAAGCTTGTAACAAGAGCAACTAAAGTAGTCTAGAAGACAAAAATAGTCATTCCTAAAAGGGAAATATATTCCATTTGAGAAGAGTGGGAAGCAAGAGAAACTATGCCACTTCCTATGGTACAAGATTCAGTTTAGTACTAATTAAAATGATTTCTGTATAGAATCATACAAGTTCAAGTGAGGATCAATGGGGCAGAGAAGCAGATTATTTAAAATTGACAATGTATACCGTCAATGTTCTTGACCATTTTCAAAACAAAGTTATAATGGATTATCATAAAATTTTCGCTGAATGCCTTTAGGTATCAGGAACACAAAATGGTTCCTCATTCCTTCCACCAACAAATGACTGACAAAATCTATAGCAGTCACTTAGAGCAGAGTATCCTTCAAGCAAAACACGTGCACTAAAAGATGGATTGCACACACACAATCACAACTTAAAGACTCCCAACTGTAGTCAACTGTAAAACTAACAATGGTTTCAAAAGAAGTAGCTGAAGGTCTCAGGTGAACAGTTTAGGTGAACACTTGTTGGTTCTAGGAGCTTAAGAATTCCACTGAAAGATGCAGCAAATTGTAAGGTATGTAAGGCAAGCAAGTGTTAAAAAAAGAACAAGAAATCTTTTAAGTTCTTCTCCCTTTATGCTGCCTGCAAAAATACACCTTAGGAAATTAAATCCGTATAAAAATATTTTTGATAAAGCAAATGCTCCCAGATCAAAAACTCATTTCAGTAAATTACAAAAATGTAAGGATTTCTAGCAGTATTAATTCAAACATATTTCTCATATTTAATACCTTTTCTTCTTCTTTCTGGTGCTAAACATATATTTGCTTTATATGTAAAAATATTTTAATACAGAAACTACAATATAAAATTCATCTTTATCATTGTGTACTTGATCTTGAAAATGTAACATTGTATTCATATGAGGCTTTGAGGAACGGGCTTGCAGTTTATTCTATTTTAAAGATATCAAACCTTCTACTGTAGTTGAAGAAAAAGCATTCAACATCATAATCCATTATTACAACCAATAAATTGCTTTCATTACATAGCAGTTTTGTAAGTTAACAGAGGATTATAGTACTGCAATACTAAAAATGTCCTTTTGCAGCTAAGCTACAGAACATTTACCTGAAATATTTAAACTGCCAATGAATTACATGAGTATTCTGCAAAATATTATATTAATTAACAAATGTTATCATATAATCAGCCATTCCTTTACCCTGTTGTTCGAAAGCATCTAAAAATTACCTGTTCATTGCTTGCCTCCTGCAGAGTATGAATAGAGGCATTTGTCAAAGAAGAGATGAAATTCCAGATGGATGGTCCCTTTTTCCAACCAATGTTCAACGATAAATTTACCAGCTCTGATACTAAAGCCAAGTATAAATTACAACGATCCAAATCTGAAACCTCAAATGAAGAAAAGAAAATTAGCATTAAAAAGGAAAATTTTCAACTAAAAATCAGACATAACTAACAACTTCTATAGAAAAAGTCAGGAGCAATCACAACCACTAAAATGTTTTCTTTTCCTGTAATTAGGGACATTTTCTCTCCTTTTCTACCCAGTTCCCATCTACATCAAGGATCTCTGTCTGAGTAACCATTAGCAACAAAAAACCCGACACATTGAAATAAGTTTCCAATTTTCTTTTCCACCAAGAGCAGTTTTGCCCTTCTTCCCATATTGGCCTTGGCAATCAGTTTTATCAAACACACCACTGCCCTCCATTCTCCTGAAGATGTCTCCTCATCACAGATAAGAGTCCCAGGATAAAAACAAGCTCTCATTTATCTTCTGTCTTACTTTGCTTTCCTACCACATTCATCTTTTGGCCTGTTGCTTCTGTCTCTTCAGTCCCTGATGCTCACACCATTTTATCTTTTTCTTCATTCTCAAGTGTGGGGTCAGTCTGTGGGTGCGATGCAGTGCGATGACCTGGTCCTGCATATTCGCTCTGCCATGCACACACCCAACCCTGTGCACCAACCCAATCCTGCATATTAATCCTCCCGCAGGCCCAATTCTGGCTGCAGAGCAGCACCATGTGCCGTCATGACCTAACACACAGGGCCATGTTTGCCCAGCCTGCATGACCCCCCATAGGGCTGGAAATATAGCAGCAAAGTGGAAATTAGTGTTGCCACCGCTCCCCCACCAAATTTCCAGACCTATGAAGAATCCCACAGGATGGATGACAGGTACATGGGCCAGAGGTTAAGCACCTCTGATCTAAAACATGCCAGACATATGCTTAAACTGCATAAAAGCTTCCAGTAACAGAGGAAAAACAGCTTTGAGATAATAACTTCCAGTACTTAAAACACCCTCATCGTTAGAATGTTCTTTTTAACATAACACATAAACTAATTCTCCCATGCTGTAATTCAAGTTCTTATTTCTTGTCATATCATGTGTATCAACAGAGAACTGACTGCCATTCTCTTTCTAACCCATCCTATGGGTACTTGAAGATTTATCAAATCCCTCCCTCAGTCTTTTCTTCTTTAAATTACATAATTCAAATTCCTACAACATTTCCTCATTTCATTGTTTTCTAGACCATTAATCATTTTTGTTGCTCCCTCCTGGATGCTTACAAATTTTGTCCACATCTTTCTTGAAACGGCAGACCCAAATTGAACAGACGACTTCAGGTACATAGCATAGTACTTTCCACTTGCCTTCAGTGTATTTCATCCTATTTATTTAACACACTTTTCCAATGTATCAAGGTGATATTCTTCTCTAGAGCAGTAGTCTTCAAACATTTTAGCTGTTTACCCCATTTACCTGCAAAATACTGCTGACTGTACCCCTACACCTTGCATGTAGAAAGTGTCGATACCAATATCTACATGAAGAAATGCCATTACTTACTGCATACAGACTAATCAGAAGCTCCATCACCATTGTTAAAGTTTAGCATTGAATATCTCCAGGGGTACATGAACCTCAATTCGAAAACAGCTACTCTAAAATGCCTGTTACCCCACCCAGCTAAATGCCATTGACAAATTTGCTAAGCATACATGTACGCTCAATTCCATTCTTTGAAACATTAATAAAGATACTGAACAGCACCAGATGCAGGACAGACCCTTATGAAACTGCAAATATCTCCTCCCAGGCTAACACCGAGTCATGGATGACTACTCTGTGAGCATACTATTCCAACCACTTACAAACCCTCTTAAAGTAGTTTCCTCTCTAGACTATATTTCTTTACCTCACTTGTTTTGTGAGAAATAGGGTCAAGAGCCTTACTAAAGTAAAGGTACATTGCACACACTGCTATCACTTGGATTTTTTGTTTTTTGGGGGTCTTGTTTGTTTGTTTGGCTTTTTTTTTGGGGCGGGGGTTTGTTGTTGCTGATTTTACAAGAACCACCACCTTATCACAGAAAGAAAAACTGGGTTGATTAGGTATAATTTGTTCTTTACAAATCTACATTAGCTCCTAGTTATCACCTTGATACATTCTAGGTAGTGGTGCACCGATAGCCAATTTTTAATGAGACATATTGGCCAATCTGATTCCAATATGCAACCCCACAGCGTGAAAAGCGGCAACCAGCTGGTAAGTCCATTGTAGAGCAACAGATTGGTGTAGGGAAGGGATGGGGGAGGCATATAGAAGCCCCTGCAGTGAGGGAAGGAGTGGGACTGGGGCAGGGCAAGGCATGGGACGGAGTCACGGCTCATCGGGGGGGCAGCTCCCACAGCTGCACGCAAACCAGGAGGGCATTGGGGGGGGGTGCCCCCAGATCTGGTGCAAACTGAGGACAAGCTGCTGCCGCTGGCTGGGGCTGGCACTGGGCTCTTCCCAGCAGGTGGCTGGGCTGGACCAGGCTAGAGGCAGACAGCGGCAGTGCTGGGAGATGAGGGCTGCAGAAAATGTTGGGGTGACTAGCACCCCAGCCCCCTCCCAGCACCACTGCCACCGCCCAACTCAAGCGCAGCCAGGCATAGCCCCCGCCGGGAAGAGCCCAGCACAGCCCCAGCCCAGCAGCCCACCCTTGCCCTGCGCACATCCTGGAGCACCCCCCGCCCCCCCAAACGCCCTCCCTGGGTGCATGCAGCAGCAGGAGCTCACCTCCACCTTGGATGAGCCGCAGATCTGTCCTATGCCTTGTGCCATCCCGGTGGGCAGTGCCTGCCCCTACCCCACCCCTCCCTCACTATGGGGACCTCAATCTGCCCCCTCTCCCACCCCTTTCCTCACAACAGACTTACTGGCCGAACCCGGCTGCTCTCCACACCACCAGGCTGCGCTCCTGTCCACCCATGTGCTGTGCTGCAGCTGTGATCCGATATGGGACCCATGTATCAGCACACCTCTAATTCTAGGTGGTTAGAAATTGATTGACTGATGGTATGCTCCACTATTTTTACAGGTACTGAGTTAAACTGATTGGCCTGCAATTCCTTGGATCCTGCTTTTTTTCCATTTTTAAAGTTGGACACTGTTTGTCCTTCTCCAATCTTCTGAAATACCTCACAACCTCCACAATTCTCAAAGACTCCACAATTACTTAGCCAATTCCTGGATTACTCTAGCAAAAATCCCACCAGGTCCTGCTGATTTGAAAGCATCCATCTTATCTATGTGATTTCTAACTTGTTCTTTCCTTTTACTAGCTCATTACCTACATCTCATCCCCAAGACTGACTGTGCTCCTCATTTAATAATTAACTCTTTATAAGACTGAAAAAGTAGGCAATAAACACAACAGCCTTTTCTGCATAGTATATTATTAACTTACCTTCTCTGTTCAATAAGGGACCTAACGCTTTTAACTCTTTGCAGAGTTCTGTGTCAGTCTGATGCATATAAATGATTATTAGCAGTTTTTTAGGTAGTTAAACATTACTGACTATCAATGCATCATTTTAAGACTTTCACTAATACAATAAAATGGGAAGATTTGAAAATTTTCACAAGCCTGTAATACACTACAATAAAATGGGAGCAGGACAATAGAAATGTGACTGCAGAAAGTACCAAAACACCCCAAACCTTCAAACTGACAGATGTACACCTCCTAAATCCACTCAGTCAGTACCTCTGCTGGACTTTAGATCTGAGCAGTGACATACCATATGGGCAAATACAAAAAGCTCCTTGTCATTTTCTGTTGCAAATGCCAACTACAAAGTCAATTTAATGGTTAAAAGAAACCAACTAATTTTTCATTTGTATTGTGATCTTTTCTGAATTCCTTTCACTGAAAAAAAACCCAACATGCCTCAGCAGGTTACTGTTAAAACAAGTTTACCATGGCTATTTCTTTGTAAAATGATGTTCTGAGGATGGGAAATATTTTGTTTAGAAACCTGTAAAAAAATTCTGTAAAAAAAATTCTGCTGAATCAGCTTAACAAGCAAAAATGCACCAAAACAAGTAGACAGCAAGTCTTTCAGGAAATACTTACAGTGTTTAAATCACCTGTAGTAAGCCTTCGGAGAACAAAATCTAAAACACTGTCTACAGAAGTCTCAACACACTTCCAGAGAAAAGTTAATACCCCATCTGTACAGAAAACAAACAAAAAAATTTACTAACACAATGGAAAAATACTTTAAGAAATATTTATCATTTTTCTTCTTCTTAGCTTTCGGCATCCTATGCTCAAGAACACATACAATGCTCTGTTTCTTAAAAAAAAACACATTAAACTATATGTTGAAAATCCCTTAAATAAGTATTTAAAACATTTAATATATCTGAAGGGTATTCAGAGCTCCAAATCAAAGCTGATAAATTAGGGTGTCCTACTAATAGCCAGGTAAACCTCTAGTTTGTCACTTTCTGTTTATCAGATGCCAATGCAAGTTTATACTAAAAGATGCTCAAATGCACCAATCTAGGTTTTTTTGGTTATAAGCTGGTCTAAGAACATATGCAGACAAGGTTCTTTGAGTAGATGTGATATCTTTTATTGAATCAACTGAATAGTTGGGAAAAATAGTTTTTCTATCTAAGCATATACTCTAGGGTTTTACTAACTGGGAACCCACAGTAGTTAGAACTGTTCTCAAACTTCATTACATTGCATTATGGCATTCCAATAATCCTATGTGTGAGCACTAATTTAATCTTTATTACAAGAGTTGCTCAGTCTTGACTTTGTACAATAAAGATAAGGCTGTAGAACAGGTTCAATTCACACTCAAATCTTCTACTTTTCTGAAACATTCTTTATTCTCTACTCTCTCCACAAAAACATTTAGTTTCTCAAAAGAAAGAAATTAGAGCAAAATTCCTCCAACTGCCTTTGAAGCTGGAAAAGTGCCTTTTTATATTAAACTAAGATTATATACCTCACCAAGAAGATCATACTTGCAATCATACATATGTGTGTTTGAAAAAATAATCCTCTGGCTGCAGGCAAACTGAAGAATGAGCATGCACATTAGAAAAGATCACTTAGGCAAAACTGTCACTTGTCCAATGCTTCCAAGGGACAAAGAGGCACCTACATTTAGTAATTTGGGGACTGTGTGGCAAGGTGTGTTGGGGTTTGTTTGTTTTTTTTTAATGGGGAATAGTTTTATATGAATACAGAAGTGAAAATAGTTATGTTACTTTCTTAATACTTTCTCAAGTATTTTATCTTTGAGCACAGCACACCCTAAAACTTATTTTCAGGAAAGTATGAGCTAATGAGAACAAAGGATTATAACTGAAACAACAGTATTTACCACTAAAGGAAGTTTAGGATAGAGTCTGACTATGAAACATGAGAACACAAAATACATTCCCATGACAGTCTACAGATGAAGACATACATAAGTTACAAGAGTAGAAACTGAAATAAACAAATGTAGCAAAACATTCAGTCACTAACATAAGTCAAGGCACTTTTTGGGTGAGCCGTGCCCTACTGGCACTAGAGGTGCACCGATACATCGGTCCATATTGTATTGGCACCAATAAAAGGAAAATTAACATTACTGGCAACCAGTTTTTTTTGGCCGATGTGGCCAATAATGTGGTCGATAAGTGCCATGTGCATGCATGCGTGCAGCCACAGCATGCACATGGCCAGCCCGGCAGCTTGGAGAGCAGTGTCTGGCTGGTAAATCTCTTGTGGGGGGAAGGAAGGGGTGTGGGGAGAGAGCAGATCGAGGCCCCTGCAG